AGAACGTACGGACTCTCATAGATAATCCTTTGGGATCTGTTCCTGATCGCAGAACAGCTCTGGTGTCTAGGGAGCTAGAGAGAGATTCTATAGATGTAGCTGCTCTCTCATAAACTCGTTTTAGCTGGTGATGGTCAACTTCAAGATGTTGGAGGTGGCTACACATTTTTCTGGAAGGGAAAGTGCGCTGAGGAGGATAAAGTAGCTTGTGTTTTATTTGCTTTACGTAGTGAACTTGTGCCAAGGCTTGCTGAACTTCCTAAAGGTGCCAGTGGACATTTAATGTCCCTCCGCCTACATCTCAATGGATCACGAGACGCTACAATCATTAGTGCCTACGTTCCAATAATGGACAGTGACGACATTTAAAGGCTCAGTTCTATGAATCCTTGAGAGGTATACTTTCCATGATTCCAAAAGATGACAAGATTGTCCTTCCTGGTGACGCCCGAGTTGGTGTGGAGTGAGAGACCTGGAGAAGCTTGGGGGAAATATGGCGCCGGGAAACTCAGCACCAATGGTTTAATGCTTCTCGAACTTTGCACTATGAAAAAGGGGTCTAATTAGGCACGTGTACCCACTAAATAATATATATATATATATATATATATATATAAAATTAATAATAATAATAATAATAATATCTGTCTATATTTCTGAGATGAGGTATTACGTACACTATTTACATTATTCCTCAAGGGCACATAGCACAGTGGATAAAGGTGTTAGTTAGATCCAGTGACAGGACCCAAAGAGTGTGAGTTCAATACCCGGTTAAGGCAGTGGAGTACTTGGAGAGGGGAATTAACAGGAGATAACTGACAACTGACATCCATTAAACATGGCACGTGGAACTAGAACAGTACCCCAGTGAGCGAAATAAAGGGTTCAGTTCGCTATTCCAACCACCTGAAGGCCGTAGCGTACAACGGCCGAAACCAAATAAATATGACGACAAAGATGAGGACAATAGTTCGAATAATGTAAATAGTGTATAATAATAATAATAATAATCAAGGCCAACCGTCCAGATATTGTTATTAAAGACCACAAACAAAAACTGTGCCTCCTTATTGATATGGCAGTCCCTGCTGACTGCAATGTATCTTTGAAGATATTCAAAAAGTTGTCAAAGTACAAGGACCTTGAAATAGAAATCTCGAAAATGTGGCATATAGGAACATCAACAATCCCTGTTGTAGTTGGAGCCCTAGGACTGGTTGGAAAAGATTGCAGTAGACTAATTGAAGGGATTCCTGGAAGTCCATGCCTCAAGGAGATACAAAAATTGTTCTGACAAGTACAGCCCACACCTTACGAAGGGCTTTATCTATGTAATTTAATTCTTTTTTTTTTTTTTTTTGTCAGTGGAAAGTGTCATGATGCCATTTCTAACCTTAGGTCCCTGGGCGGGACACGGAAAGAAATGTGTAAACGCCAGAAATCAAAGAAAATGAAAATAATAATAATAATAATAATAATAATAATAATTGTCTCTATTGCTTCTACACTGTGACATCAATTAAATGCGGTTTGGATTTAGCCATGCATAGACATGAACAGAATATGACACAAGGCCAAGTTTAAAGTGGGAGACACACGTACATGAAGCTCGGCATAAAGATTTCTTACTTTCCATTAGTATTTTACCCTTTTTACGAGTAGCGGATTGGCGGCAAATACTAAAAATAATAAATTTTGTAAACTCGCATATAACTGTTGCTTTTAGCATGTTTATACGTTAGCAGGTGTCTTATATAAGGCTCAAATTAGCGATCCTTGCTTCATGCAGAAAATTAATTTGCATATTCTGTTTTAAAAATCAAGCACTAAGAAGACATTATTTTATTTTAAATTTTGTTATTTGTTTTGTTAGTCGGTTGTCACGACGACTAGAACCAAAATGAAGTAAAATTATTTCACTTCAATATTAGTAAGGATCTACTAAGTTAGGTTTCCAATCCTATAAACAAAGTTTGAAACCAGAAATGAAATTGAAACCGATACCAAAATGTAGTAAATTTATTTCTCTTCAAAATTACGAGGGTCGATTAAGGTTTCAATTCTTATAAACCAAGTCTGAAACCAGAACATATAATTAAAACTGGTGTCAAAATGAAGTAAATTTATTTCTCTTCAAAATTACGAGGGTCGATTAAGGTTTCAAATCCTATTGTGACGGTTACACACCTGGCCCAGGGTCGAATCCCTTGGTTACGGCGCCAACTGTGACGTCGTTCCTCCTGGTCGCTCCTCCTGGTTCCAAGCGTGCCGCTCCAACCCCTTGGTTAGATGATCACCAGCCTCGCCTTTCCCAACTCGCTTCCAATACCTGGTTACTGAAGCAACTGTACTGATCTCCGGTCTGTCTACCCACGCTGTGTTTAGATCTTAGACAGACGGGACAAAAGGATTGCTGATAAAAAAAAAAGGTAACAACCTTTTATATCTAATGTCCGTTACATGAAAACAAAATTGTTCTCAATTCCCGACCCGCTCT